CCGAGCTCGCCAGGGGCGCTGCGATCACTTTCCGCCCGCGATCCGCGGGAGTTGCCAGTATTGGTTTAGATGGTATTGGGTGAAACCACCGGTACCTATCCCTTCCATTTTATCACTTGCCCACCTACGGGAGTCATGCGATCGTAACAAATCGGATGCGAAACAACCGTATACAGCCCGAGTTCTAGAATCCAATAGCCCCTCGACGTTCGTGTCTGCAACCAAATCCGCGTCCAGTGCTTTAAGTCTCTCGGAAGTTGAGAGGGAGGGGGGGGGGGGGGGCGTTCTGACGAGACGTACTAGATGCGCATAAAAATAAACCCCACTGCCGACTCTGACCACGCTGTACCTGCAACCCTCAAAATGCTAATTCCAAAAATGTCACATTTCTGAAAACAAGCCATTTTCTCGCAAGATATGACTTTGATTTCACTAATGCTGGGGCCGTGGAGGAGGAGGGTCCCAGACCATCCGTTAAAATGTGTGGGGGGTCCGAGACCCCCCAGACTTTAAGCCCCGTCCGCGTCGATATCATTCACGGTATCTCCGTGGACCACGATATATCCGTTCGTTGTCGGAAACACGCCACTCATTCTTTTGCGAGGAACAAGCGGCGCATGGGTGCACACTGCGCCGGCTTTGTCCCAGTCGCAGTCTCTCTGCATGTCGTCAACAACGCACCACTCACCTTTCCCCCGCACGATCGAGCGGCACAACCCTCCTCACTGTTCACACCCGACGGTCTCTTGAATGCTAAAAGGCATTTGATCACTGCGGCGAGACTTTTAACCTGGGTCTTTAGCGAGAGCCACGGAGTAAAGATTCCAAGGGTGCAGCTAGACTGCGCGTAAATCACCAAAATTAAGAATTAAAAACCTCGGGAGAAGGAAACAAATAGGACATCACCGTCTCAATTTAAGAAGGGGGTTTGTAGTGTGTTCCATTTGTTTCGTATCGAGGTACTTTTAATTACGATTGTTCACCGGCTCGCCCATGTTTCGACTCTTATTTCGCATACATGGTGTTGTTAATGATTTGAGGCAGCCATTCGCGGCTCCACACACTTACCTGAAAGACGTCTAAACATTGCCAAATGTATCGTGCAGTGTACTATGCGAGGCTCCAAAATGGCGGCACGGATATGGATGAATTTGAGTGCCACGGCACTACCGTGCACTAAAATACGGGGTAGTGCTTCGACCGGCACGACTCGGCAATGGGAGTTTGTGAGGGTGCGAGTGTAGACATGGCAGGCAGAAAGTAGCCGAAGCCTGCACGTGGCCAACCACCACCCTGTTAACCTTACCACCAACGCGCCGGTGTCAACACCTGTCGAGATCGGGTCCCAATCATTTCCTGGAATTACGTTCCGGGGACAACTTTTTAGGAACACGTTTCGTCGACACTCTAACGCAAATGGACCTTTCCCACATACCGACGGCATCAGGCAGTGGCTGCACAAACTAAAAATCGAGGAAGGACCTACCTGCGCTACCGATCGATAATGTGAGCTACGCTACCAGTTCCTTCGCTCTCCGAGCTGCGACGCGTGCCCAACGCGACATTAAAGAGGGGCATCAGTGGCGTCCACCCAAACATCGTGTTTTTCTTAATGTCCACTCACTTTTTTTGTGTAACACAACTATATATATATGCTGCCATTACGTGTTCTATTTGCCAATCCACAGCCTCCTCCCAGATTTCCTCGATATTTTGTGCCGACTTCCACCGCTTGGCATCGGGCGCTCGCGCGTGTGCTTCTCGGAAAAGGTCTATTGCACGCTGTTGTCGCGCGTCTATCACTGGGGTGCTTTGCAATGACGGTCTGCAGCGGCTCCTCACCCAAATGTTCACTCACCCACCCAGGTGCACACGCCGCTTCGTGGCGACAGTCTGATGCAGCTTGTTACAGAAAAAAGCTAATCTGAGCTGTCGATGAAACAATCTGTCAACGAAACACTGTGTCGATAAAACCATCTATTGATGAAACGTCGTTCGATGAACCTATTGCCATTGGTCGGGATCAGCATGCGCCTCTTGCGAGCCGCTTCAATTCCAACACTACCCCGTATTCTGGAACACTAATGGCACAGAGTTTGGTAGTTACCCTGGAAAGGCTCTCGAGCGACTCTAGATCGGAGCACTTGGGAGCAGGCCAGCAAAGCCTCAGAGCACCTTGACGGAGGACACACTGGGCGACACAGAGCCCTGCTGCCCGACCATCGCGTCCTCCGGGTGGCGCAGCATCCCCGTACCTGCTTGCAAAAAGCGGACCAACTTGCTCACCGTACCGCGTCCCCACAGGTCGACTTGCAGAACACCTCTACTTGCATTCTACTTCGACACGTCTGGGCTTTTGGGAGTTGCTCGGAAAGCCAGCCCCAACGCAAAACTGCGCTTCAAAAAATACCCGGAAACGGGCTGCAACAGCCCGAAATCAGAAAAGAAGCAGACTCTGTTATTGGCACGTTGAAACATGTAGAGCTTTCCCCTTTTTCCCACTGGCGCAGGAATGCTAGACTCAAGTACATTTTCCCCATGTATCCTGGCCTCTTGGACTACACCCAGTATTGAAAACCCCATATTACTCGCATTTCAGGAGAGAGCCATTCTAAAATGATCCAGCCATTTCAAAGTAGAATCATCGTTTCACTCTTCTTTCCTAAAACAAAAGAATGGAACCTTCTGCCGCAGAAAATTGTCAACTCACGTTTCCCTACAGTTCTTAAATAATTTGAAGCGCTCGTCGAACAAGTTTTTTTTGGTTACCATAGAGTGGTGCATGTACATTTTGTAACGATGCTCCACAGTCATCGTAATATTACGAGCGTGCTTTTGCTTCGTTTGTGCGTTTACTTTAATATTGGCAAACACAAATTATGCTCCATGCATGTGGCACTTTTATTTTCCTGCTGCTGTTTATTCCTTTCCAGGGCATCTTAAGATAAAGCTTGGGATTGCCGACCAGCGGGCATCGGTGTCCCAGATGTGCTCGGAACCTGGGGTTGAGTCGCTCGGTGCTCTGCAAGGTCGATTCACTTGTGGGCGTCCTTGCAGCCCATTCTGGGCCGCCTCGGCAATTCCATTTCAATGGGTCCCCCGACCGGCGGTGTCACTAGGGTCAGCGACACCGAGGGCGGCCTGCCGCGACACCCCCTTCCCGAGCGCTGCACTTGGGGACCCTGGGTTCCATCTCCGGAACCCAGGGTCTGCTGCGTGACACAAAGATGCAAGGGCAGCCCTCACACTGCACTGGCCAATTTCCTCATCTACAGAGACGTCAAACACCATTGGGGGCCAATTTCCTGCCGTCTAAATACAACAGCCACCACAAATGGAAACAAGATGAAAGCTAAAGAGGATTTTTAAGCATTGGGGGTTAGTAATAAATACAAAAAGAGCCCAAAGCCCATCGAATGACGGAGCAAAGCGGCTCTTTGCGGGAGTGCACTTTGACGACACCTTGGCACGTTTCGAAGAGCCCGCTGGGGCCGCAGCTTTTGCCACTTGTCAAGTTACCATGAAATGAAGTACAATAAGCGGGCATGTGCACTTACTAGGAAGTCTCGAGTTGGAAGCAAATTCAAAGCAAACAGTGACTTTGGTTGTCCAATCGAATGATCCTTTCAATACCGTTGTACCATGCTTAAACAAACACCAGCTCAACTCCCAAAGGTTGTTCCCGAGCTTCCACTTGTCCACTTCCAAGCTAATCTTCATCCAACTAGATTTATGGACTGTGGCCTCGGAAACTCCCAATGCCTACGTTGGGCTGGCAAGCGAACAACATATTGGACGTAACACTATAAAGCTGTAAAGATGCCCAGCTACACTTTGTTTCACGATAATTGCGCAGGTACCCGCGACCCATTAAGAGTGTCAAAGCGATGCGCGCGACACCACGTCACGGGAGCATTTGTGTCCCTGCGCCAAATGCGAGGCCCGGAGGAACCGGCCGTCGTCTGCTGGTCAAGAGTCGTCTGCTGCGAAACCAACCACCTTCGGATGGACCGCCGCAACATCGCCGTCCGCGAGCTCTTTGGGAACAGTTCACGAGACAACCATGCGCTCAATTTACCCGCAAATCTGTGGGAGGCCTAACGCCAGGGCGACGTTTTGACTGCGAGTGGTCGATTACGAGGCTGCGATAGTTCGAGCATCGTTCAAAAGCCGCGTCCATCTCGGAAAATGGTTGATCCGAATTAAGTATTGTCGAAAAGCAACCTGTCTTTGTCTTTCTTCCGCGTCACGGAGCATAGTGTCGACCGAGATGCGACCGCGCAAGTTCAATTGCCGAAAAAAAAAAGCCCGAACTACTTTTTGTCGCGGACGGCGCTGCTGCAGTGGCGGTAACAAGACCTCGGTGGCCTGGACCATGGGGTGTCGTCACGTCCCGCGTTCCCAAGCATTTATTGGTTTGCGGAGGCCTCCACAGTTCGCCAAGTTATCGTGAAACAGAGTACATAGCTAATCAAAGAAATTCGGGAATCTTCTCGCTACATGCGGATGTGTTTTCTTCATTCTCAATCTCAAAAAAAGAATGGCGAACGCAGGTTGTTGAGGCATGTATGCTTAGCATATAGCCAAAGTTTAACGTAGAAAATTTCACCGCAATGTAGGTATCAACATTTAAAAAGTTTCAGTGTCTTTTTTTTGGACACACTGGCACGTGCGTGCACCATCCCGTTTTAACAGTGTGCTTTCCTCCCAAGCACACAGCTGCGATATTCGTGCTTTCTGAAGTCTCGAAGCGAATGTTGAATAGGGTATTATTCTAAACTACTGCCATACAAGAGAAAGATTATTTGCGCAATTCTGAGAATGTTAGCCCGGAACAGTACTGGTGTTTCTTCGGAGATGATCCAACGGGTCCCAGTGGCGCCGCAGGGTGACCCATTACTGGGGGGCACTTTTGCACAGTGCCAGGACCGAAGGAGGACGTCTTCCCCGCAGAGGGAAAGGAGGAGCCAACAGACGGCCAGCCACGGACGAGGCGGGAGAAAAAGAGAAGCAGCATTTATTGTTCAGCACCGTAACGGATGTTATGGAAGCTCAGCAAAAGGACCGTAATTAGAACTGTTAACCATTTAAAAACCTGGGAGAGAAACCTCGGGCGTCGGTCTGCCCTCGTGCGGGGCCGCTAGAAACTATACATTTGGCAAGCCGTATCACATGCGAGGCACCCGGGAGGCCCCCACAGCCCGTTAGTAAGTCAGGTCAACAACAGGGGGGCGCCACCCCCCAAACGGCCCACGAGGAACTGCGTCCACTATGTACAGCCCGGGGCCCCGAAACGCGCGGGGGGGGAGCTCGGCCCGCCGAGCCCGCCCGGGGCGCCATCACGAGTCCTTGCGGGGGGCCCTCTTGGCCGCCCACAGGCTGTTGTGGATGGTGAAGGCGTCGATGGTGACCGTCAGGTGCTTGGTGTGGATGCGGCTGAAGCTCTTGGCCCCCGAGTTGTACTTGAAGAAGAGGTCCATCATGGGGGCCGTCACCGTGCGGGGCCCCACCCCAAACAGACGCCCCACCTCCTCCCGCTCCGGCTGGTACGAGTAGAGGCCCCGGAACTGGCAGCCCGCGTCCCGAAACAGGATCAGGAAGTGCTTGCTGTCCGAGACGCCCATCTCCTGCAAGGAACCAGGTTCGGGGACCCCGAGGGACGTCCGCGTGGCACCCACCTCCAGCACCCGGCGCTTGGTGTCCGCGTTCACCTGGCCCGCCAGCACCGTGTTGAGGGCGTTGAGGACAATGCCCCGGTTGGACTTGGCGGCGGGCTTGACAAACAGCTTGGGCCCCGTGTAGTCGCCCAGGGGCAGCAGGAGCTGCAGCGACCCGCTGCCCGCAGAGGCCGTCTCCGAGGCGTCGCTTCCCCCCCGCTGCCAGGACGCGTCCCCGCACGGGGGACTGGGCGCTCGGCGGCTCTCGTCCCCGCGGCCGGACTCTGCGAAGGGCGTCCCGTCTCGGTGCCCCCAATCTCGCCCACGACCAAGTGCTACCCAAAGAACCAAGCTCAAATGCTTCTTTCCCTTCATAAATGTCGAAAGGCCCATCGCTGCACCCCATGTCGCGCACGGTGGTCGACGGCAAGAAAGAGGAAAGTAGATGCAGTCGCATCTCCCAAAAAGAATATGTTAGAAGCTCATTGATACGTTTTTCGGGGGAGTTTGTAAACATTCGTAGGTGAAAACTGAAGTAAATGTACAGAAAAGGTTTGCAAGCGTACGTAGGTCTCAAACAAATTCAGTTTGAAACATTCGTCGATGTGAACTCGAATACGTTTCAAAAAGCTCGCATCTTCCACCTGGTGCTTTGGGCGAGTGATTTGCGGGCAAGCGACGCAGCCCCGGGTTTGCGGATGTCCGCATCCCTGCGCCCTCACCACTTGGGTACACCACAGCTGCAAAGAAGGTCTCGCTGGGTGAAAGGCTGTGGCGGGCGTGCCGGAAAGATGGCGGCCTGCTAGACCATTTTTTACGGAAGCTTCTCGACACGGACCCAGAATATTACCGGAACTTGCGGCACATCACAGACGGGAACAGCCGCTGCAGCTTCCCTCATGCGCGAAACTAAAAATTATAAAAAAAAAAGAAAAAAATTTGCGTCATCGCGATACAAGACGTTTTTCGAGTCAATCCACCGCCAAAGGTCCGCAAGGGGAGTGAAAAGCAGGGACCTAAAAAAGTCGAGCGCCTTTTCACTCGGGACTTTTAGGGGCGGAGCTCCTTAGGGCCTAGCCTTGTCCGTCCGTCCAGCGTCCAGGCTCACATAAAAAGAAAAAATGTTTGCGCAGTCGACAGGATTCGAACCTGTGCGGGGAGACCCCAATGGATTTCTAGTCCATCGCCTTAACCCCTCGGCCACGACTGCGGGACGAGTAGGAAGCTCCGAGATGTGGTAGTAACTCAAGAGCTGGGGATGTCATGGATGAAACGTTGCATGTAGCCGCTCAACATCTACAGGAGAGGGCGCTGCGGTCAAATGCGTATATAATCGCGCTAAACTTTGCATGCATTGGCTCAACATTTATAGACGAGAGGGCGCTGCGGTCAAATGCTCAAATGCGTATATAACCACGTTCCCATACCACACATTCCATACCAATGCAACCCGGAACTCAGCACTACCTATGAGCAATAAAAAAAGTCAGCACCATCTGCAGTACCTATGAACGAAATCAGCATCATGAGCACCACCAGAGCTTCGCCCCAATCAACATCATTCACCACGTGCAGATGCGGTCATTTTCGGAAGGGGATGGACTTGAAACCACTGTAGTCTGGCAAAAATTTGTTTTTTTTTCGTAGGAGTAACGCAAAGAAGGCGCATCATTTTGTATTGCTCCGTTTTTGTTTGTTCGCTAGTTCGTACTCCTTGGTTCCACGCGTGAAAGAAGCCGCAAGAACTTTGCCCAGCTGACATGCTGCAGGTTCTGGTACTCCCCCAGCTCTGTGTCAAGAAGTTTGTCAGAACAGCCTCCGGCAAGACCAAGAGCCAACCAGGTTGGGCAAGACCCTTGGCGGCCGTGGTGCGCTCGACTGTTGAAGGCCCTCCCCATGGCCCTGGGGCTCCGTTGCTTTGTTACTCGAGCAGGGCCAGAGCTGCCTTAAGCCTTGGGTTAGTAAAGCAAAGGGTGCTTTGTGCTGAGCCTCTCACGGCATTCTGTCTCGCTTGATACGTAACGGCAGCACAAAGCTCTTTTTCCTTCTAATGCGACAGCACTGCAGAAACAGTGACAAAGGTCACAATTGCTCTCGGACGACGGTGCCACTGTGCACTGCCGGCGTCTCGCGGCACTGTGAGACGCAAAGATCCATCCTCGCTGCTCTCTGTTCGTCTCCATTTTCGCGTCAACGGGCTTGGGAAGTGGACGGTCCGCAGACGTGTCGTCACCCGATGAATGCATTCACGGATCTGTTCGTTGCGTGAATCGACCAATGCAATGTTGGCGTCTTTTTGAATAAAAAAAACTGGGAAACAAAACGCACTACACGAGAAATTAATAAGCGCATTGTTACGGGAGCCAGGCGGGACTGGCGCTTCGGAACGTAGAAACCGGAATTCTATCAACGAGGTCGGACCATTCTACGAATTGAATAAAAAATGTTACTAAATACTAAATGCCACAGAATCACTCGGTAAGAGTTGAATTGTCATAGTTTCTGTACGTTGCCCGTCACTGCCAAATGATAATACCGAAATTAAACGGTAACGCGGAACCATGTCTAGAGATGACCCCAAATATTTCGAGATTTGAAACTGCGTAGTTACAAGAAAGAGCTTCGAGCGGGAAGTGTCGCTTAACTTTCCCTCCCTCTCATTGGCCACCGCAATGAGGGCTGTCTGCCGACTGGTCAATCCTGCTCTTGCAATTGCCAGGGGAGTTTCCTGCACACGCACCTGACATTTTAAGTCTTTCTTTAGAGGCCCTCTACATAGTAGTGGGTATCTCACGCTTTTTAAATAGGTAAAGAAGAAAATGAACACGAAACTGGTGAGCGACGCAAAGAATACCCCAAACTTCTTGATCTTTCGACTCGGATAAGCTCTCAAAAGTCCGAGAGGTGATCCGGTACCGAAAAGACCAACTCGTCCGAGCCATCTTTTGCACGTGCAATCCCAGTTTGTGAAAAGATGATCCGTATCTTTCATTAACTCGTGCGTGCGCTAAAAACCCGGTTTGTGGGAGGATGATGCAGGTCTTTGAATAGCTCTGGCACATGCTGAGCATCTTGGTTTGTGGGAGGATGATGCAAACCCCCTCAGAAATTAGCAGTTTCTTCTTTTTTGTTAGTAAAGGAAGACAAATATTGAATGACAACCAAATTGTTTCAGCCAGGTTGGGGACGGCCGTGTCTGTACTCGTAAACTGTAAAGTGCATAGACCACTACGCGCAAAAAAATGAGACCAATGCCCCCACCTCAGTTGTGAAAGCAGCCCTTCCCCGCGACAAATAATTGCGGGCTACGCCACTGGTACTTGTAGTTAGTCAAAAGTGGCACATGTTTCTAGCTCCAACTCTCGCTCACTACATTTTAAGGAAACATTTTTACGGGATAGGTTGTTTTATTTTAGAAATACTTACTGTCGAGGGAACGTAATTCTAATAACTCGACGAAGTTATTAAGACGATTTATTCTCGCTATATTAGCAAAGAAAAAAACCAGTGCTGCCCTTCCTTAAAGTGTTTCCCTCGACCATTTAGTCACCACCATCCAAAGTCAACTGAGCCAACCTCTCGCGCAAGTGCATAGCAGCCAAACTCTAGTCAAACTTTCTCGAACAGAGGGTTTCTATTACAGTCGAACCCAGGTATTTCGAGTTGTTGTTTCTATCGAACCGTCCAGACATCCCCTCGAAAATCCCACGCAATGGTATAGGGGTGCTGTCTTTTTCCATCCAACTGCCTCGGCGGGGACACTCGACATCCAAGCCCGGCTACCCACTGCTTTTCCCCCGACTGCAGATCCGATTGCAGCGGTGGCAAACCCATCGCTTGCCTTGCGTGGCTGGCAGACTGCCAAGCCACCTTACACGCTGGAAGATACCCAGTTAAAGATCACTCGTCAAAAAAAAACCAAAAAAACAACGACAATGAACCGTAAAAAAAGAGGAAAAAAGTGGAGGGTGGCAAAAGCAAGGGGAAAGGGAAGGGCACGCTTGTGTAGGGAGAGCAGGGACTGCCCGCTGTCCTAACGGCAGACTGCGCCCTTTCCCGGAACACTGCTGATGCTGCGCGACTTCCTAGCCCCAAAATAAAATAAGACAAAAAAAAAAAAAAAAAGTCCTCCACAAGTCCAGTCTGTTGACAACAACGGTTGCGCAATCACATTTTGAACGCCTTTTCTTTGCTCACCTTTTCCTTTTGCCCTTATTATTCTACCCATTTTTTTTTTTAGAGCGCAGCTCTTAGGGGCCCGTTCCCGGCTTGAGCGGCGTCGCCGTCGGCGTCGGCGTAACCGCAACCCTCGTAACCCTCGTGAGGGTTACGAGGGTTACGAGGGTTAATCTCATGAGGGTTACCCTCACGAGGATCACGAGGGCCACGAGGGTTACTTACCCTCGTAACCCTCACGAGGGTTACGAGGGTTAGTTACCCTCAAAAGGGTTACCTTCACGAGGGTTACCCTCACGAGGGTTACTTACCCTTGTAACCCTCACGAGGGTTACGAGGGTTAGTAACCCTCGTGAGGGTAACCCTCGTGAAGGTAACCCTTTTGAGGGTTACGAGGGTTAGTAACCCTCGTGAGGGTAACCTTCACGAGGGTTACCCTCACGAGGGTCACGAGAGTTGCCCTCACAAGGGTTACTAGGGTTACCCTCACGAGGGTCACGATGGTTACCCAGGTCGTGACCCCCCCTGGGGTCACGTGACCTGGGGATACCCCCCGAGGTCACGTGACCCCCCGTTGACGTCATAGGCACTGATGACGTCGTCAGTGACGTCACTGATGACGTCACCGGCATCCGCATCGTCATCGTCATCATCACTGATGACGTCATTAGTGACGTCACTGATGACGTCACCGGCATCCGCATCGTCATCATCACTGATGGCGTCATCAGTGACGCTACTGATGACGTCATCGGTATCGTCGCGTGGCCCCAGGTCACGTGACCCCCCCGACGTCACGCGACGCCCCAAGGTCACGTGACTCCCACAAGGTCACGTGACCCCCAAGGTCACGTGACCCCCCGCCCCCCGAGGTCACTTGACCCACCCCCCAGTACCCTTCCCTCCTCCTCCTCAAGAGCTGCGCTCTAATTCGGCGTTACAGGGAGTTGTAAACGGCTTTCATTTTTTGCCTTTCTTTTTTGTTGCCTCTATTTAGTGACTTTCTTTTCTGTTGCTCGCTTAACTTTTTTTTTTAAGGATCAAGGTAAATTTTTTTTATGCGTCTCGCTCTTCCATTTTTCTTTCTTTTAATAATTTTCGTGTTTTGTCGCTTATACTGGGTGAAGGTCCCGGCCAGGCAGGCGTGTAAGTGCGGCGGCGTTTGCGGTCTCCGCCAACTACGCTCTACTCTATTTAGCCACTCTTGGGTGCTTTATTTGGTAAGCTCCCGTTTGTCGCGACCTTCGGTATTAGCGGCTTAATTTAACATACATTTCTATATATCAAATTATTGATATATCAAACTATTTTACGATCCCCTTTGAATTCAGTATATCTGGGTTCGATCGTGTAAGCTCGACCAGTGATTCCAACTATTCTTACTCCTCCGTTTGCACTGAACGGAAATGTATGACCAGATGCACCACTCGCCAACGGTAACTCTGTCAAATGGCCACGACATTTGAAGATCCTCCTCGAGGTCGTTCTTGAGAGAAACTAATATTTTTATTTTTCGATTAATAATGGTTACCGGTAAATAATTTACAGTTACTTACGGCTGTGGTTTTCATACATTTCAAATAACTGTTTCGTTCCATCTCCAGTCTATGAACAACTTTCGTTCCTAAAGAGTTTTCGGTTTTGGTCTGAGTCCCCGATATTTATAGCTGGAAAAGAGGAGGATATCCAAAGTTTGAAGTTAATCCTTCAAAGAGTTACGTACAAGAACGTCAAATAAACGCTGCGCCCCCGAGAAAAACAATCGTTTAGAAAAGGGAACAACAATGGCCAGTCCTTTGGTGACAGATACAGCATAACACCCGCCTGATGCGGCTATGAAAAGTAATTACAGAAATTATAGAACATTTAATAAAAATTCAAAAAAAAAAAAAAAAACCTTTTTATTTTTTTGTACTGTTGAAGATACTGCAGCTTTTCCTAAAAAAGACATGAGAATGCAGAAGCCAAGCTCACAGTCACGTACCTTACAATATTTCGCTACAGAAACTTCAAAAACTGACTCCACGGATCAATTGCCAATCAAATGATCATTTTCCTGAACTGAGATTTGGTGCCAAATAGATCAACTGAGATAAACGAGTTTGAAAGATGAAAAAGCTGCACTTTAGATGGTGCAGACGCATCATAAATTATTCCGGAAAAAATACTTCAGTTACACTAGTGAAGCTTTCTGACAGCTAGGATATTTAAAAGCCGTTAAAACTACTCGAAAAAAGAAATTGCAATTGTAAGGTAGTGTTTCTCCTTACATAAGCTTACTGGTTTCGAAACTTGGAAACAAATTAGAGAGTTTTGTTACCGCAAGTGGCGTTAATCCGAGCAAAATATTCTCGAAACATTTTTGACATTGTCTTTTAGGCAGACACTCTTTTCACGGTGTTTACGATGTTAGAGGGGACCCTAGAGTTGCTCCGAAAGAGTAGACGCGTGGGGCGACTTTCTGCCCGGCGACACCTCCCAACCCACGTCCCTCCGCCGGGTTCTCCGCGCGATCCACCTGTTCCGACTCTTTGCCCCCGGATGAAAGATTCCCGTGGCGGTTCCGGAGGGGGTTGGGGAGGGACCCACCGTCCAGGCTGGCCTGGGAGCCCCGGAGGCCCGGAGCGGTGGCCCCCAGGTGGACCGACTTGGGCCTGGGCCGGGAGGACGAGCGGGGCTTGGAGGGACGGGTGAGGGTGCCCCCCGCCCGCGGGGACGAGCCCGCCTCGGCCCCCTCCGCCTCCTCCCGGGCCTTGCGCTGCCGGTACTGCTCCAGGATCTGCTGGCGCCGCTGCCGCTCCTCCTCCCGCTTGCGCTCCTGCTCCTCCCGCTTGAGCCTGCACCCGCCGCCCCTTCAGCACTCCCGGCAAGCCTCGGCTGGGCCGACTCCCTTCGGCGGCTTTGCAAGGACGGCCGTCGTGCGGCCTTCCTTGTCCAAGGCCTCCGACAAACGCGCTTGAGCGCACCCCATTTCCCAAACCGCTTGTCCACTTGCACCTTCCCAAATTGCATTTTTCTCGGTGCGACCAGAAACAAAGTAGTTTTCATCGTTTTCCGCCGAGGGTACTGCGGCAGCGGCTAAAGACGCGTGATGTGCAAAGTGTCGCCAGCCATTCGTCCGTGTTTAACGTTCCACGAAAGGGCAACCGCAGTCAACATTTTCAAATTTGGGACTACGACCGTTTTCAGCCAAGCCAGTGTTGCTGAATTACGAGGTATAATTTTTTTTTCTCTTCTCGTTATTGAGCGCTTTTATAAATGTCGTTGCTCAAATTTCGGTATTGGGCGTCTACGGCAAGACCGAAACTATAGACGCTTTAAAGGGATACTTCAACGAAATTTGAAATATTCCCGTCGTGTTCAAAAATAGGTTGAATATGATCCACGATATCCGTAAATGACAATCGCACGTTTGTATTTTGAGCCTGGTGGCTGTATTTTTCGTTATAAATGGCCCACTCTGGCAAGCGCTCAAAGAAGGCCCAGCGGAGACCACGTGACATCCAACGCAATCGTGACGTAGGTCGTCTCAAGACGAGCAAAGCTACGACGAGGCTGACGTCGAGAGGATGGCCTAGTCGTTCCAGCCACCGAAGCGGCTGCTTTTGTACGAATTTCGAGTGACGGGTTAATCTTCTGTAATCTTGTAGGGGGACAACAGCGACTTCTGTGACACACAAAAGGCATTTCCGGGAAGAGGGGAGTTCCTCCTGCCCCTCTTCTCTCGTCGTGGCCGGAGGCGAGAAACTCATCGTCACTAGCTGTCAAGGTTCCTAGACGGGCATTGCATGCGAGGCGTTAGCGACATCCACCAGGTGCTCTTTGCTAATCGTTTAATTCGTTTTAAAATTCCTTTTCGTGACTTTTTTTAACAAGATATTGGTATGTTCCATGTGATACTGCTTTTTTGAACACATATAGACCAAAAAATGAGCGCCGAAAATTCGTTGTAGTATCCCTTTAAGGCAGCTGTGCATGGGCACCGCCCTAACCGACCTTCAGTTTTTGTTCCCTTTTATTCCACTCGCTTCGCTTCCTCATTACCACAGCAGGACTGGTTATTGCCATTTTGAGCGTTACTGCATCCTTCTCGCGGCATAGGCCCTTGCGGAGACTCGTCAAGGCCCGCCCCAGTGGCTCGGCATCTTGGTAAGACGAGAGAAGGCCGGCAATGGTGGCTCAGTCTGGCGCGTGCTCAAAACGTCTACAGAGGGATGGCAGCACTGATCACAAGCTGTACGGCCGCAACGTGACGCCAAGGTGACGTCACAGCCGCAGTACACACGGCCCGGTGTTGCTCCTCGAAAGGCTAACCCACTTGCCACCTGCTAAAGAGCAGCTGGTCGCATCTCAAGAACAAGTTTTAGTGGAGTGTGCGGCTTCACTTTGACGTAGCGTCTAGGCTACGATCGTATTTTGTGCCAATAAAGCCCTACCAGTCGTTTCTTTTGGTTTCGTTTTTGACCGGAGTTGCTCCTTAATCAGTTTGTTTCCCCGTAACGGGGGGCTGCAGCCTTAATAGTCGTCCGCTCAAGTCGCTAAAACCGTGAATGCAAATGTATTCCTTAACTTTTGTTCCTAGTCCGCAATTAAATTTAAGATCTTTTTCCGAGGAAAAAAATCTAGAATCTAAATGTCCCAGTAGGCTAATCTTTTATGAGTCAGTAGATAGCGCGGGCATTCCCGCTCGCAATTAATTCTTCTCCAGGTGTAAAAAAGGGGAATCACTGGAAGCACAATCCTGGATTTCAAAGAACATTTGCGTGCATCTCCAACATTATACCTTAACAAATTATCAAGCAAAATCTGGCCCAAATGAAAGAAACCGGATCTGCAGTGGCACACCCAACCGACACCATTTTTGTTCGGGAAGTGCCCGGGACGCTGCTCCCAATGTAGCGTACATTTTGTGCCAATTTAAGTGCAGCAAGAGACTGTCCTTAACCCCACAAAAATGCAACGGATCCGGTGAATGTTCACACGGGGAGAGGTTAATCGTCTTGCTCGTGAGATACGCAAAACTCCGTTCAATGCCGGGGAAGAGCAATTTGAGGAGCCTAACTCCGTAGCCCGGGGTATTTTAACGCGCACCAGATGGCAGCGACTGCACGGCCATGCACCGATAACGTTGGTCGTCCACATCGAGACAAACGGGGTAAACTACTAACCAGTCGGAAAACTTTGGCAGCGTGCGCTTTAGTAAATGTCACCCCAAAGCAATGCCAATAAAAATAAAAAAAAAAAAATTTAGAAAAATTTGGATAATATTTTTAAGCCTACGTAGCAGATTAACCACGTTGAATTAACCTGAGACTGGGGTAGGAAGAAGCATCAAAACGTAGAAGGGACGGAAAATAGACGGGACGACGTCTCAAAAATGAGCCGATTTTTGAGACGTCGTCCTCTCTACTTTCTGTCCCTTCTACATTTTGATGGTTCTTCCTACCCCAGTCTCAGGTTAATTCAACGTGGTTAATATTCACCAGCTCGCCAGTACACTTACGACTTTTTCCTCCGTAGCACCCTCGACGGGGCGTTCCAATTATTGGGAAATAATACAACCCCCGGCGTCTCGAGCAGGAAAGGCGTTTCCAATTACCCGTCCGTACTCGCCCGCGTATCCGGCGACTTTCTCCGTGGCGTCTTCTCCGAACCCACGCCCGTTCGTCGGGTTCTCCGAGCGATCGGTCGACTACCGACGTCGGCAGAGTGCCCGGGGCACTTTGGTTCGTGTCTGGAGAAAGGTTTCTCGTAGCGCGACTACAACAACAATCCAGACCGGGTCGGCTAAGGGCCGCAGTACCCCGTGCCGGTAATGAGGCTCGGGCGAGCCTGCGCTCTGGGACGACCGTTTCCCCCCGAAAGAGGAGCGGAAAGGGCACTCAGCTGTTCCTGCATGCGCTTGAGGGCGTTGCGCTGCTCCTTGGCCAGGCGGCTGGCCTCCTGCTCCTCCCGCCGGCGCAGGGACACCATCATTATCAGCTCCTTGCGCCGCTGCATCTCCGTCTCGGCCTCCTGCCAAGCAAGTGGCTCTCCTCACAACCGGCTCTTTGGGGAGAACCGGCCTCCGACGGGTCCCGCCGACGACAACGTGCCTACCGGGGACTCTTTGGCCCTACCCAAGTGGGGTTCCGTCTCGGAACACGGTTTGCTGAGTCCGGGAAATGTGGCAACGCCAGGAAAGGCTTCGGTTCTGGAACCCAGTTCCAGAACCCAAGCCTTAAGACCTTCGCTCTCGTCTGGAAGAACATGACTGCTTCTAGTTCGCTCTCCCCTGCCTGGCACAGTAAGCCCGAGCCACCCCGATCGACCGGCCACCACAATTCAAAGTGCACGCCGATACATTCGCGCGAAATTACTTCGGTGCACCGATGGGAAAGCTTTTAGCTTACGACTAGTTATGCACATGCTCCGCTCGCAGAGTGGAGTATCGCGATGGTCTCAAAGTTTTGACTCCAAGTATCGCGGACAAAGCGAACGTTGCTCTCCCGACAGACGCAGCGGGTACAACCAATCTACCGAGCACGCGCTGTCGTACGTCTCCCTAATCTCTCGGAAGCGCGTGCGGGCGGGCGGAGAAAAATGGCGCCACTACATAAATGCGCAATTTTTCGGACGGCGAGAAACGTGCACTTCTATAACCACCCGCATTTGCTCGGAAAGAGCAAACACGAAGTAGGAGTAAGGGCGCGTAACAATGAAGTCTAGGGAAAGGAATGAATAACAAGGGAGATATCTTTACAGCTTTCCCCGTTTGTTCCTCTCCTTACGTCTTCCTTGTTTCGGGCTAGTGCCTTCCATCCGACTTTCCCCAACTAGCCCAGCTCTCAATTCTCTTCCTTTATCCTACTCATTTTACTAGAGGAGGGCTCTGCTCCTCCCTTCAGTGTGGGCGTAGCCTCTCCCGCATATCCTAGGCCGCAAAAGAGCCACAGCAACAAGGAGGTGCAAATGGTTCTTCCAGCACCCAGTGGGAACTTTCCCAGGGTTGTTTACAAATGCTGCCAAGCTAGGAAGTAGCCACGTTTATCTTAGTTTTTATTATATACAATCACCTCTGAGAACACGTATGCTCGGGTATCTAACTATAGGATGCAAATACATGTACTGAACCAGTGTTGGAGCTAGCGACGTGCGCAACTTTTGACCAATTAGAAGCACTAAGACGCTTTTGAGTTCTCGTTGCAAATGTCCCGTGCTTGGATATCTGGGACTACTTAAAACATTTATTATAGAATGGCTGCGTAGCATTTCAATAAAACAAATTATTAGAGAAACCGGAAAAAAAGAAAACAACAGTTCTTCGGAACATGTAGTTGGTAACCAAAACCGTAAAAATTAAAACCGTAAAGAACCAAAACAAAACTGATATCAACGGGAAACAATATCCATAACAAAATACCAAACAAGTCCAAATTATTGGCATCCAAAAATTCGGTTGGCGACTGCACAAGCAGGAACAACTTGCGTGTTACGGGACCCGATATTCCGTGCACAGAAAATGCGGGAATCCAGTACCAACCAGGAACTCAAACCAAAAAAATACAACGTTTGCTATATTTTCCGGTTTGAGTTCCTAGTTTGTACTGGATTCCCACGTTTTTGTCCGCGAGCTGCATGCGCAATACCGATTCCCGTAACACGCGAGTTGTTCCCGCGTGTGCAGTCGCCAACCAATTTCTCTAACGCCAATGACTCGTTCGATATTTCGGACCTAAAGGAGGATCTGTGACCTAACCGATAAAAGTAGTGCATATTTTCGACCAATGTTTCGGACAGCTTCAAGTCTGAAAGTTTGATTTTTCGGGCAAAATTGTCGCGACGATCGGCGGGAAACATGACCGAGAAGCGGCCATTTTGGATTCTATGTCGGCTGCACGTGGACTGGCTCGGTTTGGCAGCGCTACTTGAGTACTGCTAAGTCCGACCGCTAGCTGACACTGTACAACTTTTTCTCTCAAGCTGCGCGTCATTATCGTCATTGTTGTTACTATTTGGCTTTGTTCACTCGTCACTGCAGTCGCGGACTTGCGCCGCTCATCTCCATCTCGTCTCGGTGAATCGTATTTTTGGACTAGGCTGGTTTGGACGTCATTGCCCATCTGTTCTTCCGTCACCGCGATGTGCCGCTAAGAAGCGCAGAAAATACTCGACCATAATGCTAGAAGAAAAGGCAGCGATTCTCAAGCTAATAGAAAGTTGCCCTAAGAGTGGGCGAGATAGCACTCCAGGCATGCGGCCACGACCTAACCACCTGTTGTTCGTCATCCAGGTCCTGTCATCTTGGGTTCTGCGGCCAGCTGATGACGGTGGATTTACAACGTTCCCCGCTTCGTACAACGGTTGGGATATTATCGACGAAACGGCTTGTTCGGACCACGTCGGGGCCTGCGGATTCCCGTTGGTTCTAACGGCCGCCGGGACATTTCATCTGGCAACGCCGTTCTATGTGCGTGTAGCCCCAGTGTCATCAACATCACCGGAACCTTCCTGCAACGCCCCTTTTGCCAACCTCGTCAGTGGGCGAGATAGCACTCCAGGCATGCGGCCACGACCTAACCACCTGTTGTTCGTCATCCAGGTCCTGTCATCTTGGGTTCTGCGGCCAGCTGATGACGGTGGATTTACAACGTTCCCCGCTTCGTACAACGGTTGGGATATTATCGACGAAACGGCTTGTTCGGACCACGTCGGGGCCTGCGGATTCCCGTTGGTTCTAACGGCCGCCGGGACATTTCATCTGGCAACGCCGTTCTATGTGCGTGTAGCCCCAGTGTCATCAACATCACCGGAACCTTCCTGCAACGCCCCTTTTGCCAACCTCGTCAGTGGGCGAGATAGCACTCCAGGCATGCGGCCACGACCTAACCACCTGTTGTTCGTCATCCAGGTTGGTAAAGACCGTTTTTATTTTGATGTGAAAAGCAATAACGTCTGCCTGGTAGTGCTGCCTCGCCTGAGGGCCTTCTTGAAGTGTGTTGCCGACTGTTTTGATTCGCTCTGTCTTATTGTTCTTTTGCTGAGCGGTGACGTTGAGCTTAACCCGGGTCCGTTTTCTGAAACTCAGCTTGCGGCAATTCTCGATGGCCAGAGGGCCCTTAATGCCAGCATATCGTCGATTGGAGACAGATTGGACGAACATATTCGCCAAACAAATCAGCGGTTATCTTCAATTGAAACGAAAGTCGAGGGATTTTCGCAACTTGTCCCCAACCTCGAAAGATGTGAGAACTTAGTCAAGGACCTCGGATGCAGGGCTCACTCCTTGGGTTCCAGGATTAGCTACCTAGAAAACGCGGGCAAGCGAAACAATATTGTCGTTTACGGGGTGGCCGAGAGTGAGGCTGAAACGCCCGCATTGCTAAACGAAAAGGTGATTTTAGAAATTTTTTAAAAGAAACTTGATATTAGGCCGTCGGTTATAGAAAAAATTCACTGGCTTGGGAGATACTCGGCGGAAAGAGCACGACCGGTGTTAGTGCGTTTCTCGTCCCTCGATGAAAAAAATGCTATCATGAGAAAAGCATACAAGTTAAAGGGTACGTTCGTGTCTTTGTCTGACGATTACTCATTGGAAGTTAGAGAAAAGCGACGTCATCTTTGGGCGTACGCTAAAGCTAAAAGGGAGGACGTAACGAACAAAGTAAAACTAACGCATTATAAGCTTGTAATCAACGGAAAAGTGTTTACTTGGGATACCGAGACCGAGCAGGTTGTACCCGTTAAACGTGCCTGACGCCCCTCTGATAAAAAAAAAAAAAATAGTATCACGGAGGGATGTTGTTTTGATGGTCGTGAATTGCAGAAGTGTAAAAAACAAAATAGAGGAATTGTCCGGTTTGATCAAATCTGTACAGGCTGATGTTATCCTTGGGACGGAGTCATGGTTGGATGACTCTGTTCCTGATCATGAAGTCTTTCCCAGCAATTTCAATGTTTACAGAAGAGATAGGTCGCTGCACGGAGGAGGAGTTTTTTTGCTTATTAGTACCTCCTTACAAAGTTACCAACTAGATATAGCTGGAAATACAGTTGAGTCAGTGTGGTGTCGGGTCAGACTGCCCGATGGTTTTAATTTTATTGTAGGCGTATTCTACAGACCCCCAAGTTCTGACCCCACTGTTTTATGCCAACTTAGCGATCTGGTTTCTAGTGTTTCTAATGACTGTGTGCTACTTGGTGGGGATTTTAACCTTCCAGATATGATATGGAGTGACGAAATGTGTACCTGTGGATCACTCAGTCGTTTAAACCTTGATTTAAAATGCATGGTGGACACTTTGGGCTTCACACAGCATGTTCTCACACCTACGCGTGGCTCGAACATACTCGATTTATTATTTTGTAACTATCCTGGCATTGTTAAACGAGTTGACGTCATTCCTAGTATTAGCGATCATGACGCTATTGTGGCCACGCTTAGTTTTCAATCTCCCCGTAAAAAATTGAATGCAAATCGAAACGTATTTCTGTACGCAAGGGGTGATTATGAGGGTATCAGTTCTGAACTTCGCGAGAGCTTCCTTTCTTTCGAATGTATTGCCGAAGAAATGAGTGTTGAGGACGTGTGGATGCTTTTTAAACAGAGAGTTATTAGCCTCACAGAGAAATACATTCCGAGTATTGAGGTACGTAAGCTAAAGAAAAGAGAAAAACCATGGATCAATGGTGGTCTATTAAGAATTATTAAAAAACGCAAGCGTGCGTACGCAAGATATAAAAAGAAAAGTTCGGCCTCAAACCTCCAGATATTAAAGGAATTGACTACGACGTACAAAGAGACCGCAAAAAAATCTAAACAGGATTATCTTCAACGTCTTGAAGACACGATGAAAACTAACAATAAGCAGCTCTGGAAGTTTATGAAGCTCTGTGGTAATGATCAGATGGGAATACCTGATATAATGGTACATGGCGAACTACTCACTGACGCAGGGCAGAAAGCTTGCGTTTTTAACAATTATTTTAAATCAGTCTTTCTGCCTCCAGAAGATACAACACTAGAAATGTGTTCAAGCAATTACGATGTGATGCCACCTGTAGTAATAAGTATGGAAGGTGTATTTAATCTTTTGGAACATATCGATGAAACCAAAGCGATGGGCCCTGATAACATTTCCCCTCGGGTTCTAAAGAGTTGTGCAGACGCAATAGCGCCTTACCTTTTCATAATATTTAACAAGTCATTACTTAATGGAGCTTTGCCAGGGGACTGGAAATTAGCTAATGTTACTCCTATACATAAGAAAGGTCCCAAAAATGATGTCACGAATTACAGGCCGATCTCCTTAACGTCGGTTTGCTGCAAGTTGTTTGAGCACATTTTATATTCCCAGATAATGCAACATCTCACGTTTCAGAACTTTTTTATTGATTATCAACATGGATTTAGAAAGGGTTATTCTTGTACTACACAACTCACTGAATTGTATCATGATCTTGTTACTACCGTTGATAGGGGTGAGCAAATTGATTGTGTGTTTCTCGATTTTAGAAAAGCGTTTGATACAGTATCGCATTCCCTCTTAATCCAAAAATTGGCACTTTTGAATCTAGATACTTCGGTACATAATTGGATACAGGCATATTTGTGTTCACGTCGGCAATGCACGGTTCTAGATGGTGAAACATCAGATTTTGTTGAAGTTACCTCTGGCGTGCCACAGGGGTCGGTACTTGGACCTTTGCTGTTCTTAATATTTATAAATGATATTCACGTTGGCGTGACCTCTCAGCTAAGATTGTTTGCTGACGATTGTGTTGTATATAGATGTATAAAAAACGATGAGGATTCCACACAACTGCAGGCTGATTTGGATCAAATTGAACTCTGGTGCAGTCTATCAAAATTGCAGTTAAACGTCAGCAAATGTGTACATGTTACCTCCACCCGCAAAAAAAAAAACAACTTCACACTCAGTATTATTTAAATAATGAACCACTAAAAAGCGACGGTAAAGTAAAGTACCTGGGGGTGACCTTATTAGCAGACTGCAAGTGGAATGCGCAAATTGACGATGTCGTCATGAGGGCGGGACGGGCACTCGGTTTTATCCAGCGTAATCTAAAAAGGTCTACACAAAAAATAAAAGAACTTGCATACCTTACCTACGTTCGACCTCTTACAGATTATGCTTGCACTGTGTGGGATCCTGCTCAGCAAAATCACATAGACGCTTTAGAGAGGATCCAAAATCGTGCGACACGCTTCGTCCTGGGGCTGTACGACCGCTTTTCGAGCGTCACGGACATGAAGAGTACATTAGGCTGGGATTTGCTGACATTCAGGCGGAAAAATTTGCGCTTAAAATTTCTATATAGCATTTATAATAAACACACTGGTATTAACGGTTTTCATTACCTTCTACCCCCTTACTATATTTCCCAACGTAAAGATCATATCCACAAAATACGCGAATATTCCACCAGGACGGAACTGTGCAAAAATTCTTTCTTTGTTAGGACCATTAGGGATTGGAACAATTTAAGTGTTGAAACTGTTTGTGCCGCAAATGCAGAAATGTTTTTTTCTATGTTGTTCGCCCCCCGCAAAAATGCCTCAACGGCGCTGCAGGAGCTACCTGAATAAAGAAAAAAAGAAACGCAAAGTTTTTTAATCTGCCGATTTTTCAGACTTTTCTTCAGTCCCTGCAAAGTCCAAAAAATCGGTCGGCGACTGTATATTGCCGGGGTGGCCGGGCCAAGCCGGCCTAAGAGCCGCAAAGGAAGCCACGGAACTTTTAAGAGCCGCCGAAAGGGGCTGCCTGGTTATCCCCCCTGCTTCGGCAGGAGATGGGTGGGGCGGCGGCTCTTTGGCGTCACTCTCGCAGCTGTCGTCCTCCTGACCCTCAAGACGCTGAACCGATGCGATGATTTCGTCGTCAGTCAATTGACCGCACACAAGCACTCCATCATCTATCGCAACGTAATCATCGAAACTAACGTTTTCGGGTAGAGCGGACATTAGAGCACTGCACTCTTCGTCAAAGTTTTCATCTTCAATTGTGGTTGCCGATGTTGTAGCCGATGCAGTTGCCGATGTAGTAGCCGATGCAGTCGTCGAACTCGCGGTATTTCCATCACACGAGAAACCACAGTGACGAAAGCAGTTCGCGATGACCTGGCTTGGCATGTCCGTCCAAGCTTTAACAAGCATATGAATCGCCGCCAACAGAGTGACTTCATAGCGCTTACCCTGGTCCAGACAAAGCAATATTCTTGCCATGAGATGCTTGCCGTACAAGCCCTTCAGGTGTTTGATTATTCCTTGATCCATTGGTTGCAAGAGTGAGGTGGTTGCGGGTGGAAGGAAAATCAGGCGGATCATAGACAGCTCCGGCATTTTTGTGGGCGCACTGCAGTTGTCCGCTACTAACACGACCTTGCGCCCCTTGGACGCGAACTGGCGGTTCAATTTTTGAAGCCAATCTTGAAAGATCTCACGTGTCATCCACGCTTTTTTGTTGAAACGGTAGTCCGTTGGAAGTCGCGGGATGTTCCGAAAGCATCGTGGCGTCTTGGATTTCCCGAACACCAAAAGAGGCAGACGTTCTGTGCCTGTCATGTTGGCTGCCACGAGCACGGTCACCCGCTCTTTACTGCGTTTTCCCCAGTGCAAGGATCCCCTTTGAACGTTATCGTTTTGTCGGGGAGAGCTTTGAAAAACAACGCCGTTCCGTCGCAATTGAATATGTCCTCGGGCGCATACTCCGCAAGAATATGTGCGAGCTCCGACGTCTTCCAGTTTTCACACAAATCTTCATCCACATCGGCTCTTTCACCACACACATGCTTAACAATAAGAGAGTGCCTCTCCCTGAATCTTGCGAGCCATCCCTCGGAAGCACGGAATACCTCGATGCCCAAACGTTCGCTGAACTGTTGAGCCTTTGCGCGAATCATGTCTCCAGTCATCGGAAGGTTGTGCGTTCTTACTTCTGTCACCCATTTGTAAACGGCTTCTTCGAGTTTTGGATGGGCTGCACTGCGAAGGCGTTTTCTTGAATTCACAAATTGCTCTTCTTCAAAAGCTTTCACGATTGCTGCTTCATTCCTAATGTAGGTAGCAAGCGTGCTTTTCTTGAGGTCATACTTTTCGGCAATTTCTTTTCTGGACAATTTTCCCTCCCTAACTTCGTTGAGTATGTGAACTTTTGTTTTTAAATCATTCGAAGAGTACTTTCCTTGCTTTTCTTTCGACGTTTTCCGGTATGAGCGTTAAACGCCGCGCACTCCAAATAACAGAAACCAGAAACCGCGTGACAGCACGGTCACTCTTCATCGCTGGCTCATTTTTCTCCAGTCTCCTTCTCCATCCTCCCGACGTTCTTTTTCACTTCATCGCTCACTCATTTCCCTCTCGTTGCTCCCGTCTCCTTCCGCGCGCCTCCTCACGTGATCGGGCCGGTGCGCTCTGACTGGGTCTTATCTCGACTAATCAAATCGGCCCTTTCTCCGGCGCGAGGCGCCGGCGAAAGGGCGCCTCTCTGCGCGGGCGCTCTTTCGCGGAGCGCGCCCCGGCTCGAGGCGCCGGGGGCGTCTGTGGAGTGTCGCAATCAGGCGCCGGCTCGCTGCAACGGCTGTTTGCCAATATGGGTATTTTAACCTTTAAACTTATAGTGTTAGCTTAAGAAAAATATTTCCCGGTTACGAAGATGCCGGCTCCCGGGACGAATTATCGGGTTGGGGATATTTACCAGATCGAAATACCGGGGTTTTCTGCCTATTGAAGCCTGTACATTTCTGGCGGTGCTAAACGGAAGGATCGAATTAACGCGATGATCGAAATAACGGGAGTCGAATTAACGAGCTTCGACTGTACTCCAAAGGAATGCATTGTTTTTCGAGAAACAGAAATGAAGCCGAGCTGCTCTCTCCCAGTGATGTCAGAGAAAACTAAAATTCATTCTTCATTCTGTTTCAGGTTTCACTCACCTATTCTCGTTTCTTGATCCGATGAGGAACTGATTTTCAGTGGGTGAGGCTACTCCAAAACCAAATCTGTTCTAACTTCTTTTTGCTATCGTAGCTCAATTTCTTTCACCGTTTTATCTTTTCTCAAAACATCCGGCTCGCCTGTGCGGGGGATAACTTCGATACTATTAATCCAATTCCAGCTCCGTTTGCGGCAATATATCCCTAAATAACAAATACCGTGGGTGAAACTATTCGATGATGAATATCTTAGCTGTAGCTTTTCTGAAATTAAGAGCTAAAACGTACGGCGAAACAGGCGGGACGGACGGAAGGAGAGAATCAACTGCCGAGCAAGAATCGGCGTTTCCTTGTCTCCTTTGTTCCGCCCCGTCCGTTTCGCCGTACGTTTCAAATAATCGTGCCTCAGCAACAGGCCCGAGGTTCCATTAACAGCTAAGCTGGACAAAACCTTTCCGTACAAAAATCTTCTTTTAATAGAAATAAAAAAAAAAAAGTAAGCCAATAGCTACTCCCCCTGGAGGTATGTGTCGGGGCATCACGCGCAGAGTTTCATCACGATACCCGAGGAGCTTGCACGAGGCAGCCAACGTGCAAACTCTTCTCATTCGGAAACTGCGATCAGAAAGGCTTCCAACTTTGTGCAGCCGTGAAGGAACCCCTTGGAAGCCAGAAGGGGTCGTACCGGGTCCGGGTTGACCAGGTCGGCCCCAATGACGAAGCCCAGGGCGGCCGCTCCGGTCTTGGGCTCCAGGCTCCCCTCCGCACCTGCGACGTAACACCAGCTCTGCAAACTACGGCTCTGCTCCGGGGAGCTGCACGAAGCAACGGGTCTCAGCACTGGGAGAAAAGCTCTGGCGCAGCAGCTTGACCAAACCGTCCCAAACCCAAAGATATTTTTCGCGCATCGAGTCCGAAAGTGCGGCACAAAAAAGGGGCAAACGCAAAGAAGTGCTCCGCATAAATTAAGATGCGCGCTTAATCTGCTAGGCTCGCTCCAGCTCTCCCTCGCTCTGACCTTTGAGGATCCGGTTCAGCCAGAATTTCGAGGTACGACCCAGCCGCGTTTCTCAATCTCGGCCAAAAGCCCCTCCCAACTATTCGAGGCTGCTACCTCGTGATGAAGAAGGAGTGTCCACGATAGCGGGACGGCCAAAGGAAAGCCATTACCACACCCAACGAGTCGTAAGAAAACTATCTTTCACATTTTAATCGCGACAAATATTATCCATCGAGTCTTCCGCCAAGATATCGAATACTTAACCGCCACGTGCAAAGTTCCAGATGTGGCCAGAGGTGGGTCGGTAAAGAGACGCACCGTTAGCATCCCCTCACAAAAAAAAGGAGCACCACCAGAACCTGCCAGGCCTTTCCCCCCTTCTTCGAGCAGACTAGAGGAATTCCGTGGACCATGGCACCCATATTCTCGCAACTTTCGAGTCCCAGCGCCGCAGACTCGCGAGTCGCGCCAAATTCTGGCCCTAGAGGCACTAGCGTAAGCTCAGTGTCTGCAAGATGTCTCCATCTTCCACCAACGTGCCAATACTTTTTTCAGCCATATGCCGAGACTGCAGCCAAACCTACAAGCGCAAGTTAGCCCACACTCGTCGCTTCGGGACGTACCTTACTAGTGCGAGCGCTCGTTCCGCGAAAGAATGTTTCTAAACCCCGACCTCACGTTCTCGCGCTTGGAACCCCGACTGCAGTCTCGGTTAAAGGGGCGTTAAAGGGGCTAGGACACAAAAATGAAAGGGAAACGCTAGTTTTAAATGGAACTCTCATAGACGTAGTATGTACACCACGTTTCACGACTTTCAGAGCTCCAGTGATTGCAATATTCAATTTACGAATTTTTATCATTTTCATTTGGAAACCAGGCAACACTGCCCAAGTTAGTCGCACCATGGTGCCCATAAACCTCGTGACCACGAACGCTCTCTCCTTCCAGGCACCCCCGTGGTCGCCCAAGCTCGCCTCGCTGTGGTACAATCAAAACCGCTCAAGCGACTCGGCAACCCTGACGCTGTTCTCGCCCCCGGCCCTTTGACCTTTCACCCAGACAGCGGCGACGACGGTGACGAGTTCAACCTCAACTCGCCGGTCGCCAGTGGGTCGCAGTCAAAATAAACAGGTTCCAACATCTCTCGACAACAATTTCCCTCATCGCTGCTGCAGACTTTGTCGAGCTTGCTTCCTCTACAAAAGCAGAACTAAAGGTGCCCCCCTCACTCAATGACTCTTACCACCCTTTTTATGTTGACAGCTGTTTGTGGGCATTCAGAGCGTCTTCAAGTTCGAACGGCCGCCTGGTCGTTTAAACTGTTTGTCTGCTCTTTCTAACGTTTCTGCTTGTCATCTGTTCTTTTAGACGACACCGGCCCGTAGACCAAATGTTGGCCTCATACTTGCGATAAGAAGTAAGTGCAGGTCTCGAAAGACTTTAAGTGTCAAGATTGGTAAGCAAACTCGATGTAAACAGTAGATACAAGAAGATGTTGATCATTGTTACCAGTGGCCATCACTGACTTGTTATGCCTGATTCACTCGGTCCGATTCTGCTAGCGATTTTCAGTATCGACGTCGACCATCTCAGCTTCGGTTCACGCTTTTGCAGCACAAGTGACGTCGCGACCGAAAATTTAGAGCGAAATCTCATCATGCGAATCAGGCTGTAGCGTACATTCTGCGGCGTCCACGCGGTACGGATCGCCGCATGTCACATTATTCACGCGAAGTTTTGCGGTGTAATGAGCCTCGGGAATTTCACTGAGGCCGCTCAAGTAGTCAGACATTGCCACGAAGACGTAGAATCGACAATTCTAACGCAAAAAATGGCAGGGGGACTCACACTGATGCCAACAACATTGCATTTCAAAGGTCTGTTTATGGGCGACGGCGAGCTTCTTGCCCACACTCCGTCGCGCATACGGGGTGCCGGTGGCGTCCGCTAGGGGCGCTCCAGTTTGTTTGTAAACACGAGTTGGTATATACAGTCTTTCTCGCGCGAGTCCAAACGTGGTGGCGCCAATATGCACACCCAACCACACCCAGTTCTGAACTAGACGGCTGGTTCTCTAGGATTTGCCAAATCAAATACTATCTTCTGGAATTGGCCGCTTACAGCTCCATCAGAACCTAATTCACTCTTACGATGAAAGAATGAGGAGTAAAATATGAACAAATATAAGTGAACCAGAGGTATGCCGGGGCTATGCAATAGACAGCACTACCGAGTTTGTTGCCTAACAAAAAAAGAGAAGAGCTCTACCAAGTGAGCTATCGAACAGACAAATTTTAGCGAATTCAAAGCAGTATGTAGATCATTAAAGGGGCACTGACACATCAAAATCACTTTTTTTTTATTATACGAAATGATCGAAAATGATGCCGGGACATTACCCTCAAAACTCGAAACTTGGGATTTCAGTATTTGTGAATCAAAAAAACTATTTCCAAATGCCGAATTTGAACTTCCCACGCGATCCACACCAGTGGAGTGACGTCAAATTTGGCGGTCTCCCGAGTCGACTTTCTTTCGGACCTCCGCTCCACGCTGCGAGACAAAGCACCGTTGCCACCGCGACCCGAAGCGAGGAGGAGGTGAGGAGCGGGAGAGAAGGGCACCCGCCCGGGAGAAAAACGGCTTCTTCCCCAACTGGCCCATCAGCCTCTGCTCGAGTGCCGCCAAGTTTTCCGAGGGAGGATACAAATCCAGGAAGCGACATCACACTGGACTCTGATTTTGGGTATTTCAAAAAGAGGGGCCGCAGTGCATTTGCAATTGCCTTTAAAAACATGTTTTACGATTGCCGTTATTAAATGTTATAGAAATGTCGGCTACAAAGCTTCTAAATTTCATGATTTTTGACGTCACTGATCAAAAAAACCAAGGAGGTGAGCAGCGGGGGAGAAAAATGGCAAAAATAAAAAGGCGAAAGCAAATATATATATTTTTTTTTGCGCTGTGTTTTTTTTTGTGCGTCTATGCACAAAAATTAGCATCGTTTTAGACAATAAAAAAAAAATATGACCTTTGGGGTGTCAGTGGCCCTTTAAGGGCTTCTGGCCGGCGTCATTTTCGGCATTCGTGCCCCCACAGCGCTCGAATTCCTCGCTTCCTGAAGCGACGAACATGCACGTGCCAAACTGGGGATTTGTAAACGCCGCAAAGGTGCATATATTCCATTTCTTTCCACCTTCGGCGATGCTCGGAGTTATGTATTACCCAAAGCCTTCGTTCGGGCGGCTAACTCAAACATACAGAAAAGGGGAAAACTGGCTTAGCTCGTGTCGACTTCTGCCGACGTTCCCAGACGCACACATGCAACATCCTTTCATGGGACGCACGAGCGCCGAAACTGGTCACCGCCCGTCGCTAGGTGCACTCCAGGTGTACCGCGTGGCATTATCTGTATCGACTAGAAGCCACATAAAGACGCCAACATCGGTTGCTACGACTCCCGTTTTTGTTGCTCGTGCGTCCCCCGCTTTACGGAACGGTCCCGGTAACGTAGCGGAGGTCTCCGCTGCAGCGGGGAATGGCACTGCCGGCAAATCTTCTGGCAGCACCAGCTCGCTTAATTGAATATGCGACGATATTCAATTGGAATGTTTTTGACTTTACAGGAGCTTACTGGCACTAGTGGGACTCAAGGATACTCGCACGCAACGCCACTGATCAAGAAACTCCTTTATTGCGCTGTAATTTCGAGGACAAAACCGAGTGTCTTCAATCAATCTCTCCTTCGCAAAACCTGATGACGTAGCTGGGCGGTAGCAGTACCGCCCAGTGACGATATTTGAATGCGGCTCATAGATTGGGCCCCAGCGTGGCGTGGACACTCGATTTGAGCTCGTGATAATCGATAGCTCGAGAAGCATTCGGGGAGTGGCCCCTGTCCAATCGCTGCACTGACGACAACAGCCGAACCATAAGAATGTCTGGAACTTAGCGCGTGTCCTGTACCTTGCCAACCCCAGCGCATGGCTATGATCAACATTGGCGGCATATAATCGGCTCCAGATCACGCGGCCGCTTGTTCTGGCTGCAAGTTGAGGGGGCGAATGCTGCTCGTTTTTCTTTATTTTTTTCTGCGACTCTGATTGCGTGTGTTGAAAAACAAACGGGTATTTCACAGGTCATTAACGTCAGGGATCCGTTCTTAGCGGTATTTGCGCAAAATACAAAAATCTTTGCATTGCTCCCTTAAAGGCAATGCTGGCAGGGTGACGGACGGGCGACTGGGCGTTGGGCCAGCGCCGCCTACTGCTGGCAGTGGCCAACGGGAACGGCGGGACCGAGATCCCCGGGCGCCGCAGGGCTGTAACTCGCGCCAGGGTCTGGTGGCGCATTTGCAGAGTTGGTCCATGTGCACGGCGACCAAGATGCTACAGAAACAGGGCGATGCTCCGTTGCAACGACGACTGCAATGCTGCCAGCTGTGGTATCCACAACACGGAGTGCCATTTCTGCGAGTCGAGGGGCACGTCGTCCCAGCCGGCCGTCCCAAGAAAGCGAGAACCGCCCAGAAAAGTCAAGTGCCGACAAATGGGGACGTGCCAGGGAGTACGGACTTTGCCAGGTCGCGAGCGGCACCTCCGAGAAGGTGCTTCGACCGTGCATGCGAGGACCTACGCTCGGTAACCTGCGCACCTTGTGGGAGAGGTGACCGTGCGGGTCATGTGTGGCGACGGAGAAGCTCAGCCAGGCTGCCTAGCCAATTATTATTTTGCAATTCCCCGACTTTTCCAGGTTTTCCCGGACAATT